GAAGGGACTGAGATGGTTTCATGTGGGAAGATATACCTACCAAGTTTCATGAAATTTGGCAGAGGAATTCAAGTATTGTTAAGGTTTTGCCTCAGAAATTTAAGAGGCTGCAATGTTGGTATTACTGAAGGGAAGGATTTATGGAGTATGCCAATAAGATGGGCTCAGGCATTCAGCCATTCAAAATTTCAAGGGGAGGATACAAATAAATACATTTACATATAAAAAAAATGTAAGGCCATCCTAGTAACAGGATGTGAAGACCCATAGGGTTGTGAGATGTCGAGGCTTCCACATTTCGTCTAGACAATCGGCTCACAGATGACAGTGAGTTTGTTAGCCTTACGCGCCAGCCGACGTTTACCTTCAGGAAGTTTCCTGGTACTCATTTCTGTTAGAGGCTGAGTCGACCCGGGGGCCATAGTGCGCATTGAAGGATTAGGTAAATTGAAAAAAATCCACTTCATGGGGACTCGAAACCGCGACCTTCCAGCTTGTAGCATAGTGCCTCAATCAATTACGCTACCGCGTGCCCCACTCATAAGTGTACTTGTATAATTTACTTATTTAAAGTTACTGAATCATAAGAATTGTTACAGCCATTTTAAGAACGTAAGCTCTTTGATGTAAGTTGCTTTTTTCATAATGAGTAGTACCGTCAATTTTCATTTTGCTCACAATGTCCAGGGCTGTCTGAACGCGAATTTCTAAGGCAGATGGGCAGGAAGAACAGGACGAATTGTCTGGGCCCCTCGTCCTCCTGCTCTTATACCTTTGACATTTTTTCTTTTGGGGTATGTGAAAGTACAAGTGTAGAGCCTGTGAATACGCTGCATCATTAAAGTTAACACAGGATATGTCATAGCGCGTCTGACAAGAGAAGGGCTACAGTTTTTCCATTTGATAGTGAAAATGCTGCATACAACAGTTTGGCGTCTCTTTCTGTTTCTAAACTACAAGTGCCTGAAATCCCGACAGTCCTCTCGGTAGATCGAGCATATATCAAACCGTGTGATCAGCTTGATCGGCCGGTACTGCATCCTAACTTAGCTTAAGATACCTAACATATCGATATAGAGACTAGACTACGGGGTAGATGACAAAGCAATCGTGGTTCGATTTCTGGCAAAGGCAAGAGATTTGTCTGGTCTCCATAAGGTAAAATCGGCTCTGAGGCTAAGCCAGCCTCTTATAAAATGGGCACTGAGAACCGTTTCCCTGGAAGAAAGGGGGCGGGGGCGTGAAACTGATCACTCGCCTACCCCTAGTGACGAGGTTAAAAATTATGGAGTCCTATCTACACTCCCTCGCAAGTTTATCGGCCATAGGGCTTAATTAAAGGGGGCAAGCGGCAATGTAATTGGTTGAAGCATTATACTAGAAGCCGGAAGGTCGCGGGTTTGTTTTAATTAACCTACTCCCTTCAGCAGCATTAGGGCCCTGGTGTCGACTCAGCCTCTAACAGAAATGAGTACCAGGAATCTTCCTGCGGGTGAAAGGCGGCCGGCCCGTAAAGCTGACAGCCTCACAGCCATCTGTGAGCCGATTATCTTGAAAATGTAGGAGCCTCGACGTCTCATAACCTATTGGCCTCCACGGCCTGTTACAGGGATAGCTTTACCTTTTTTCTTAATTAATTAAGTGCAGGGATAAATTTTCCCGTTTGCCTCACCATCTAACAACACTGCAGAAAGATGTCACTTCTTTTAAGCCAAAGGACCAGACCAACAGAATGTTTCAACATAGACTATTTAATGCTACAGAAATAGGTAACAGACACAGAATCGTCTTGAACTCTTCCTGTAGCGAGAAATCTTCCATGTGCATTTTGAAGTTCTCACCGCAATGACTGTGGACTGTAAAGACTTACGAAATGGTGTATTTCAGGCCGCCTGTTTCTCCTGGTTTCATCAACCCTGAGGATCGAAGCGATGGGTTTCTTTCGGAAGTACACGGCGTTAGAAGACATTTGATGGCTCCTCCAGGTACTCTTCCATATAAACAGCGTAACAGCAGTGATCAATCATTCAGGAGTTCAATGCTAAATAAGCTTGCCGACAGTCGATTTTCTGTCACTGAATGGGGCGAAGAGCCTTTATACATATGAAGGGAGGACTACATATAAACGAGGCTCCGAGGTAGTGAGTGTAATTCCCTTCGTCTTGTTGCCGAAGTATACATCCGGCCTCTCAGGCTGGTCTAAGGACGCGGAATGTCTTCTTCGACCGCTCGAACACTAGGATCTTGGGTTCGAATGCCACTGGAGGTATGGATGTATATATTTTCGGTCTGACTTTGTTTTTCTGTGCAGGTACAGGTAATGAGATGGGTCCATCTCCCGTCCATGAAGTCTTACCAGTTTTCTATACGATTCAGAGTTGCAGAGACTAATTCTGAATGAGAACGTGCCAGAGACTACATAGCAGTAGCAGTAGTAGTAGTAGTAGTAGTAACAGCCTTTCTCTCTCTTTCTTGTTGCTCCCACTTTTGGAGCACCTGTGAGACGCCTTGTTTCACTTCAGTTTCTTAATCCAGGAGGCAGTCGGTAGGGCTCCTTGGACGGGGGATCAGTCCGTCGCAAGGCCGCTACCTACAGAGGACAACATAATTACAAAATGAACGCAGACAGATAGGGGCACGAGGTAGCGCAGTTGGTTGAGGCACTATGCTACAAGCCCGAAGGTTGCGGGTTCGAGTCCCGATGAGCTGGATTTTTTCAATTGACCCAAACCTACTAGCCTCACTATGGCCCTGGGGTCGACTCAGCCTCTAACAGAAATGAGTACCAGGAATATTCTTGGAAAGTTCTTGGGGGTAAAGGGTGGCCGGCGCGTAGGGCTGCAAACCTTTCCGCCATCTATGAGCCGATTGTCTAGAAAAATGTGGAAGCCTCAACGTCTCACAACCCTATTGGCCTCCACGGCCTGTTACAGGGATACCTTCACTTTACTTTTACTTTTTAAGCAGACAGATAACCATGCCTTCAGTGGGATTCGAAACCACGATACCAGTGTTCGAGCGGGCGAAGACAGATCATGCCTTCGACCACGCGGCTATTGTGATCGGCAGCAGCAGCCGTAATAGTAGTAGTAGTAGTAGTAGTAGTAGTAGTAGTAGTAGTAGTAGTAGTAGTAGTAGTAGTAGTAGTAGTAGTAGTAGTAGTAGTAGTAGTAGTAGTAGTAGTAGTAGTAGTAGTAGTAGTAGTAGTAGTAGTAGTAGTAGTAGTAGTAGTAGTAGTAGTAGTAGTAGTAGTAGTAGTAGTAGTAGTAGTAGTAGTAGTAGTAGTAGTAGTAGTAGTAGTAGTAGTAGTAGTAGTAGTAGACCTACATATTCCCTAAGATCCCTATCCCTGGAATATTTTGAAAGAATCCCGCCTCAAAAATACAACCCGAAAATTTTAAAACGTCACAAAAAAAATATTTTTTTATTTGTAATTTATTTAATGACGATATGAGGAACTTGAATTGTTGGATCTGAGGTTATCACAGCGGTGATTATGAAGAGTTCTATGTATCACTCTACCTGCTGCCGGCTTGATTCTGATTTCTTGCTTGTTTGACTCTTCGACCCTGAAAATAAACGTTATATGTTCCTCTGAAACATCGGTTGACTTTCACCAGACTATAGGGTGCTATATCGTAGAAGGCAACACTTCGAATTACGACACATAAGCCTAACGTCGAATGACTGGGTGACAGTGAATAATGAATTGGAAATAATGTGACAGAAGGTGCTCGTAACCTGTTTTATAGACTATTGCGGTACATGCTTGGAGGAACTGAGGAAAGAGACGAAGGCCTTCAGCCCAGGATCGCCGGTGTCCGAGCCGAGATTCTACCCGGGTGTCCCCCAAATACCAGTCAGAGGTTTCACGTCTTGAGCGAACTTGCTCGACCACAGGAGAAACGGAGAGAAACAAAATGGAGTTTGCGCGATAATACTCGAGAAAAGCAAATGGTATTAAAACTTGAGAGAAAGGAGTAGTTTGTTGGTTAACGTACTTTCCGTCCCCAAAATATAACACAAGACAGTTTGACTGTAGTGCAGAATAACTACTGTCTCACCAAGGACACTTACTTTCCTAATTTCGTTTCATGTGGGGCCCAATTACAAGTTAAAACTCTCAAGGTCCACAATCTTTTCGTAACTCTAGAAGGTCCATTGATTGCCTCTGTGAACGTGGGTGTGTGACGAAAAGGCAATGACCTTGATAGAACAAATCAGTTACTCCATATTATGACCAACTCAACGGCCCGACCCACTCCTGAAACCAATAAAGTCAAATCCGCGTTTGTTTCATTAGAGCTGTTTCATCGTTAGGCCTTCGTCGGTTCAAGTTCACCTGCAGGCTTCCCCACTAAAACTGTGCCCAAGCTTCCTTCTAAGCAGTATTCAATCAGCTGTGAGGTTTTAGCGGCGATGAAAAGGTCACCACGATTTTATAGGCTATGAAGCCATGTGGTCTGGCAGCGGTTACCAACGCGTTCCAGAGTTTCGTTCTTCCCTTACCAAGATGCAGGCAGTATGTTCCTCCAGAATATTGGTAACCACTTACCAGAATACGGGGCATGCGGTATCGTGGTTGTTTAAGGCGTTATGCTGCAAGCCTAAGGGTCGCGGGTTAGATTTCCGACGCGTCATTGAATTTCTTTTTCAATTGACCTAATCCTTCCAGTCACACTATGGCCCTGGGGGTCGACTCAGCCTCTAACAGAAATGAGTACGTGGAATCTTCCTGGGCGTAAACGGCGGCCGACGGGTAAGGTTAACAACCTCACCGCCATCTGTGAACCAGAAAATGTGGGAGCTTCAACGTCTCAACGTTTATGAGTCCCCACAGACTCTCATAGGGATAGCATTAATTTCTTTACTCACCAGAATGTACTGTGTCATAGTTCAGAAAACTGCATCCTATCCCCTCAGCCGAGCCACATAAGGTATGCCTATTTTCGTAACATGCATGGACTGTGATGAAACAACTGGAGTGTAGTTGGACTCACCACGACAACTCCGTCCTCGCCGGAGCTCTGCACCGTCGCTCCGAACCACTGCCCAGATTTCAGATCGATCTGTCGCCCTTCCGAGTTGTTATTGTTCCCTGGAAGGAGAATGAGATACCCATGAGTTCACATGAACATGTAAAAGGTATACAGCAGAGGTTCAGTCAGGAATTCAACTTTTTGCTCGTGTCTCCAGTATACTGCAAGAGCTGAGTACATAATACAGTGGCAAACCTGCAGCCAATCCCGGACTTCTTGGATGGGATACCATCGTCTCAGGGAAGCACACTGCTGCCATCTTCAAGGTCAACAAGCACATGTAAGGGTAAATTTATCCTTGTGCTTAATTAAGCATCACACCATGAAACCGTGTGGAGTGGGTGTATAGATCCATGTATTCTTAACCTCGGCACTAGACTTTGGTGAGTGATATCAACTTCACGCCCCAGCCACTTCACCCCGGAGCTAAAGCCTCCGGTAGCTATTAAATAGGATTATGGATGAAACCCAGAGCCGCTGGGCTCCGTGAATAAGAGAAAAATCTCTCGCACCTGCCGGGAGTTGAAGCCAGATTCCTCGGCCGTCCAGCCCGTAACTCGTCACTATATCGCCTGCTCCAGGGTAGAAGGGTATAGGATGAATCGACGCAACCCACAAGAAAGAAATTCAGATCTGGGCAATACATCTGCCGGTAAACTTGTGACATCACGTCCAGTGCCGACCGTAAGCAGACGTTCAGACTGGATCATCAGCGAAGCTACACAGATTCAGGTCCAACCCCAGTACATAAACAGAGAGACGGTTTCTCCCTGAGCAAGTCGCGGAACCCTTTCCCAAAAAGAACACATGCAAGTTCTTGTCTTGGTTTTCCTCTGTCCGGGGCGTTTGGAGGCTCCTTTTGTGACGGTCATTATCGGAGACTAGAGGTCACATTCGAGAGGCAGGGGCTATGTTTCCCCTTCCCAATCCCCGCCTTTGATTTACTACTCTTATTCTCCTCCCCCCAACGTCTGTCCGTTTCCTAACCCGCCGCACTGGCGGCCGGGCCATAGCTCAAGCGGTTAGTCGCTGGCTTCTCACTGCGGCGGCCGGGGTTCGATCCCGGGTCTGGTTAAGTGGGATTTGTGGTGGACAAAGTGGCGCTGGGGCGGTTTTTCTCTGAGTACTTGGGTTTCTCCTGCCAAATTTCATTCCACCAAATTCTCCATCGTCATAATCACCCGGGGCACGCCACAATAGGCCAATCAGTGGCCGCCATGACGAGTGGACCCTGTGCGACTCCACTCCCCACTAAGCGAATTAAAAAAAAAAAAAACCTGCCCCACTCCTACCACGAATAGGTCTCGGATCATTCAACGACGTTTTCAGTAACCCAAAATACGAGGGACAGAAGTCTATTTGCACCTGATCACACCGGTTCTTCGCTTGCGTATTTTCTTCTTTTTTCTTATACCCTGAAGATGGAGGCGATACGTTCCTCCGAAACGTCGGTTAACACAATACCTACACGGCGCCACATCCCAGAAGACGGCTCTCTTCATAGTCACCGCCGTGAAAACCTCAAATCTTACACAGTCAGTAAATAGTTCAAACAGCTGTAATGGATGTAATAGGTTTTCTATGTGTATCACTAGGTAGCAGCACAGCCCAGTTTCATGACAGTCTAGGTAGCGAAAGCGCATGCGAATGTTCAAAGGCTGGTTTCAGTAGTCAAAATGGCGACTGTGCTTGCGGAGTATATTATCGATGAACAGCGTTCTGTTGTGCGTTTTGCAAAAGATTTTAATAGAGAAATGTTTCCTTTTTACAGTGGGAAGTGTTTGTCGCGTTCAGCCATTCACAACTGGGTGGCAAACGTTTCGAAGATGACGAAGAGGTTGAAGCGGTGATGCGGAAGTCGCTGAGGCAATAGTCAAAAGACTTCTACCCTGCGGGTTTCGGCGCACTGGTAAAGCAATGGGATAAGTGTATCAATGTTTGTAGAGGATATGCAGAGAAATAAATGTTTTATTTAGCTTCGAATACCACATGTTTTTCGTTTTATATACATTAGTGACCTATTTATTGACTCTCCCTCGTGCGCAGCGTCGAATAGTTAGATCATCAATGAACAATGACTTGGAATGTATGTTCGAGGAAGAGACCGTCGCCTAATTTATATTATTAAGAGGGGCTAAGGAAACCCACGAAAAACTCGGAGAGTATTATCTACTAAGATATAACGCCGTGTAGCCCGTTGGAAGACAACCGACGTTTCGGAGGAATATATCGCCTTCATATTCAAGGTCTCACTGCTTGCCACCTGCTTTCACGCTGGTATCCAGCTCGGCTTGTTTTTCGACCTTGATGATGGAGGCATTGTTCCTCTGAAACGTCGGTTGTCTTCCAACGGACTACACGGCGTTATATCCCAGAACCACCACTGTAAGAACTTCAGATCTTACACGTAAAGTCTATCGGGATATTGGTATCCGAGAAGAGGTTTTACTCTGAATTTCCCACGAAGTTCGGTACTACTGTACCATGAAGACGGAAGCAGTATGTTTCGCCGAAGTGTTGGTACCCATCTAGCAGGCGATATGCTATTATAATCCGGTATAGCACACTTTGAATCTGCCGATGATGTAATGGATATCGTCCCCTACAACTTCAACTTCCACATGCGTCCGAAATACCATGATGTAAGCAATGAGAGCAATACAGCGCTTCGCTATTGTACACTCTTTCAGTTAACCATTACACACGCACACATTCTGCGTCTTCACTAGTCGTATCCTGGCAACGGATTGAATAACAGTATCATTGTAACTTCAGCACACATGAAGTCTTGCACAATCTAATTAATTTCTTATGATTTCTTCTCAATCGACTTCGAATGTCATCTCCAGAACTCGACCCAGTTCTCGACATCNAATTGAATAACAGTATCACTGTAACTTCAACACACATGAAGTCTTGCACAATCTAATTAATTTCTTACGATTTCTTCTCGATCGACTTCGAATTTCATCTCCAGTTCTCGACAACATATCACAAGCTCATATCCTTGCAGGCTATGGTCTCGAAACTGGACCCTACTCGACTACACCTAACTCAAAAGACCTGCTTTGTCCACTTATAACCCGTCGGCACGCACCACACAGAAGATACGGTCTCTCTGTTGTTGAAAAGATTATTTACTGATCCACTGCCTAGCAATAGACGTCCAATTGTTGCGCGCGTGCGCTTCCGCGGGAATATGTTTACTGAGTCGTTGCCTAGCAATGGGTATATAAATCACAATACGTTCATGTAGTAATGTTTTTAAGCCAGTATTTCGATGTCACTGAATGGAAAGTACAGCGTTATGCTGAAACACATAACGTTGTAATGCACGTTATTTCACTTGCACTTATACGTAACGCCAGACACGTGACTCTCTAATGCAGTGTTTCTAACCCGTGTCCCGTAACCATGGCGACGGAACTCCGCAAGGTAAAGGCCACATAATTATTATCAGATCCACAATATTACGTAATCTGAATATTAAAATAAATTTGTCCCTGTGCTTAATTAAATTAGCACTATGCGGAGGATTGCACTATACTTGACCTCGGCACTAGATGAAGGAAAACAGAGCTTCACGCCACGGTTGATTGGCCCTCGGAGAAAGAGCCTGCGGTACCCATTAGATAGGAGGCTGGGTGGGTCCCAAGAGCTAGTCTGGACGCTGTGGAAGATAAGAAAGTCTTGTCCCTGTTTGGAATCAAACCTCGGCCGTCCTTATATCGATTCTTACGAGTCACTCCACCGCCGAGAGTGATGGATAAATTTGGATGCTCCTATGTCTATAGAAGGCTGATCAACCCTGGTCTAAATATCGACGGTACTGCTCATTATGAAAAAACCACTTATATCAATGAGCTTACGTTCTTAAAATGGTTTAACTATTCTTATGATTCAGCAACGTTAAGCAAGTACACTTATGAATGGGGTACGCGGTAGCGTAGTTGGTTAAGGCGCTATGCTACAAATCGGAAGGTCGCGGGATCGAATCCTGATGAGGTGGATTGTTTTCAATTTACCTAATCCTTCCAGCCGCACTATGGCCCTGGGTTCGAATCAGCATCTAACAGAAATGAGTAGAAGGTATTTTCCCGGGGGTAAAGTGCGGCCGGCGCGTAAGGCTGACAAACTCACCGCCATTCGTGAGCCGATTGTCTAGAAAATGTAGAAGCCTCAACATCTCACAACCCTATGGGCCTCCACGGCCTGTTACAGGGATAGCTTTACCTACCTACACTTACGAGTAAAAAAGGTAGAAGGTAAGGTAAAGCTATCCCTGCAAGAGACCGTGTAGGCCCATAAGTTTGTGAGACGCTGAGGCTCCCACATTTTCTCTAGACATTCAGCTCACAGATGGCGGTGAGGTCAGCGAATCACATAACGACCTTTGAGAATAAAACTATTCCCAAGATAGAGAACTCGGAGCCCCACGTGTGAGAGCGGTTATTTTCTTTAGTTTAGGCTCCAGCTACACCTTTCCGAAGACACTTTATGACAGTTACAGATGTCAACAAAATAAAATTCACATCTTCGGAAAAATACAGACTTGCCTCCCGTGGTGACCTTGTCCCCTTCCGGGCATGCAAATTGCATGTAAACAAAAACAAGGCGGTTGTTTTCTGTCCAGATGCGAAAAACAAGTCATGACATGCTAATAAATCGGTCTCTCCAATAAACCAGTCACCCTTCCGAAATGGCTAAAGAGGACCATAGCATCTACGGAGAACTGTAATAGGTTCCGACGGTCACAAGTGTTTGAGCGGAAGAAAACGTTCCATACCTTATACAGCGCGGCCACTGTGATCGACTAACTGCTAATCGATAAAAAAATCTCTTCTTTATCCCACGCGACATATAGCCAGTGTCTTCACGGTGAACAATATAATCCCTAAACCTCCTCATCAGTGTTACCAGACCCTTAGCTTATTAACACACCCCTTCCCCCTTTTTCATCAGCTTGTGGGGCCGGAGAAAGGTATCGATATCACTTTCCTTGAAGTTCTGAATTACATGAACACTTTTACTTTAGCAGGACTCTTACCGGTATACCCAC